CTGGGGAGCTGGTCAGAGCAGGGAGCAGGCGGCCCTTGTTTTCCGGTTGACTTGATGGCGTAGTCTCTTGGTTTCTGTTGCATGCTGGGCCTTGCACTGGCGGGAGGACAGCACCTGGGGGAGAGGCACCGCCTGCTGCTGCCTGGCTCTGTGCCCAGGGTACAGCCCAGGACACAGTGGAGCAGCTGTCATCGTGACTGATGCATGTGCCCAGGGCCTGAGGGCCAGACGGAAAGGTGGGGGCAGAGATGACCAGATCAGCAAGCTGGGCCTACTTCGTGGCCGAGGGAGCCATGGAAGTTTCCAAAACAGTAAGTAAAACGGGATACTGAGACTTCTTCAGTCTTTGAGCAAATTAACAAACACATGAGCAGCCCATAGCCGCACGCAGAAGCAATCGGCGGGGGACAGACCAGCCCGGTGTCCCTCAGCCTTCAGCACTTGGGTTAGCAGCTTCTGCTGCTTCACAAGGTTGAGGTGCAAGTCAAGTCATACCTGCTGTGTTGTACGAATAAAAATGAAACTGCTGTGTTTGTCAGCTTTCTCCTACTGCGACCAAACAGCTAAAAGATTAACTTGGGCTTATCTGGCTCACGGATTCAGAGGGTTCGTCCATGGTCAGGGCCTCCTTGCTCTAGGCCATGGTGAGGCAGAACCAGCAGGGCAGAGGGGCCCAGCGGAGCACAGCTGCTCACCTAATGGCTTCCAGGAGGCAGAGAAGGGGCAGGGGAGCCCCAGTGAGCATCCTCCTCCTGCTGCTTTGCCTCCGTCCGGCCTGCCCTGTTGGATGGTGCCGCTCACAGTCGGGCAGGTCTCCCCCTCAGCTTGCCGTTCCCATGCCCATCATCTCTGGAGACACCCCCACCCCCCAGGGGCATGCTCTCTGTGAGTCTCCTAGGTGTCTCCAGCCCCATCAAGTCACAGTGAAGATTAATTGTCTGAATCGCACCCCAGATAGAAGTCTGGGGTCTCCCTCCAGGTGCCCCTCCTCACCTTTGCTGTCAGCTGCCTTTGCCACTGGTCCTCTGAGGTGCTTGGCTCCCACCTCAGTTGCTCCCACCTGGGCTCGCCCTGCCTAGGTCTCAGCCCTGACCCCCCTTCTGGGGCCCCTTCCCCTTTCCAGCAGTGGGGTCATCGTGATATTCCCAGGAGCCCAAGGCATAATCATAGCTTTTTCTCTAACGAGAAAGTCTATTGCCCTCCTCAGCTGGAGACCCAGATCCTCTCCTGGGATCCTCAATCCCTCCCTTACTTGGGTACAGGACTTAGTGCCTCATAGATGATCTGCCCAGCTAAGGAAACCCAGGAAGCTCCGAGGTTCATCGTAAAAGAGAGGAAGAAGAAGGGGCAGAGTTCCCTACATGTGGACTGCCAGTCTTCATACTGTGCCGGGGTTTCTCTGGCTTTGCTTGGAGTTTTGCTGAATACTGTACACCCTATGTACAGCTATAACACCTGGGGTTTAACCCCAGCACCACAAAGAAAGGACTACCCCCCCACTATTGACCTCCCTGGCTCAGGGTCCAGGTGCAGTGTACAGGAAGGAGGGGCTCTGGATCTCTGTTCCTGTGGGCACAGCTCCCTGGTTCCTCTGGCAGGAAGGACAAGGCAGCCACCCAGGCCAGCTGCCCTCGACTGTGGGTGACTGAGGTCCCTGCACCATGAAGTCTCACCCCACCACCCCACCTGACAGCAAGGGGCACCTCCAGCTGCTGACCAGCTCAGGAAAGGAGGAAAAGCCAGGAGCCCCAGGTCAGCACAAGGAGACTGAGTTAGAACCCAGAATGGAGGGGTAGCCCCAGCCAGGAAGATCCCAGCCCCAAGGCCCACCTATGTAGGGCCAGTGGGGCTTGGGGACGCCCCAGGAAGACCAGAGATGTCCGCTGCTGTGCCACGGGGAAGCTCTGTCCAGGGCCAAGTCCAAGGAGTCCACAGGCACAGTCAGGGCCACTCAGGAGCTGCTGGGTGAGGTGACAGGGGTGGCAGAAAGGGGCAAACCAAGCACAGTGCAGGAGCCAGAGAGCCAGAGCTATAGCCAGAGCAGGATGCAGTCCAGGCAGGACCAGGCCCGGCCCTCTGCCGGACAGAGCACCATGACCTTGAGCAAGGACTATCACTGTCCCACCTCAAGCCACTTCCTCACTAGGAGGTCCAGGGGCACAGTGTTCGTCTGCTTCTGTCCCATTAATTAATTAACATTTATGAGGTAGCTCTGGGCTCCTCCAAGAGAAGTGGCATGGAAATATTATTATTGTTTTAAACAATGCCAGGCCTGGATCACAAGCCGCCACTGGAGGGTCTGTTATCTTACCTCAGTGGCTGTCTGCAAGCTGATTAATTAGAACTCAATTTTTCAGACTTTCTAATTTAGATGTTAATAAATTCAGTAATTTTATCGCTTTATTGTTCTAGATAAGCTCCTTCGGGGACAGTGTCTCATTTCCGAAGGAGACCTGTGTGAGAAGCCTCACGACTGCATTGTAAATGCCTGGCATAGAAATGATGGCAGCTGCACTCCGGAGGCCTCGGGGGATGGGGCCCCAGTCTGGATGCCACCGGGGAGGTGAAGCGATATTCCGTGGGCAGTGAAGTGCTTGCACAGCTGGATATGCTGTCTACTTTCTCTCCCTGACCATCTGACGTTTCCTTCAACTGGCTGCCTCAGTGTTTATCCAAAAAAAGAAGATACGGAAGCAGAGAGAAGGGACATTCACGTGTCCCTCTCCGCTGCCCCTGGGCCACCGTGTCCTCTCAGGGGAAGGCAGGTCGCCAGCCTCAGCCATCAGGGCCTCGAGCTGTGGATGGGGGCAGGGAAAGGGCAGTGCCATCCCAGAGTCAGATGCTAGGGCTGTGGGGTCCTAGCAGCACAGGTCCATGCTGGGCACGGGGCCAGGGCTGTCACCTTCTCCGGGAGCCCGGTCAGGACTGTCCAGGACCTGTCCGTCTCTCCTGGCCGCTTCCCGTTTGCTCCATGGAGCTCCAGCCCTGATGGCCACTGTTCCCGATGCTCACAGACGTGGTGGGGGCCCAGTCTTGGACCGGAGCCTGCAGAACCATGAGCTAAGTCCCCGCTGCTCTTGCTGCTAACTGCCCCAGGCATCGGTCAGTGATGGGAGTGAGGGCCACGGGCCAAGGACGGAGCCATGCTAAGAGCAGCACCGCCCTGGCCTCCAGGCAGGCTGTGACCGGGAGTGAGAACTTTAGCGGGTACCACAGGGCTGGAGTCCTCGCCTGCTTCCTAGCTGCACTGGCCAAGCATCTCAGGACGGCTCTTCCTGGATCTGAGACCCCCAGAGCAAAGGCTACTTTCATAGTGAGCCTTTTATCATGGATTAGTCCTCAGAGTCGCTGAAGCTTTAGGCTGAGAAGAAAGAAGACTAAGACCACCCACAGCCAGGTGATTACAGCTCGGATGGTTTCCGGCTCACACAGTTCCCCACAGGTTGTTTAACCTTACAGTGAGCAAAAGCTAAACACAGACAGCGAAAGCCATGCTCTGAATCTGATCTTGCCTTGTGCAGACTCAAGATGCATGGCAGGATGGACTCTCGCAGCAGGGGCACCGGCAGCAGGACCCTGTCCAGTAGCAAGCACACAGCCCAGTCCCACAGAGTGCTATATGGCCAGCGTGCATGGCTCAGCCTCCAAACTGTGTCAGGCCCTGCTCTGTGGGAGGTGCAGGGCTCTGGGCTTTTGTGAGGTGGGTTAGGCCACGCTGGGGTGCCTGCCAAGTTTGGTTCTTGAGTGCATTATCTCATTATTCTATTTCCAGTGTAGGTGGCTTTAGCAGGACAGAACCCTACCTAAGTCGCACAGCATCTGTTCAGCACTCTAAACCTGGGCATTACTAGTTGGCAGCACTCTGAGGTTAGAGTTGGAGACATAGAAAACAGTAGGCTAGGGCCCCTCTGGGCAGCACAGAGGGCCGGGTAGACACTGGTAGGGCCCTGATGCCAGGGTTCTGTTCCTGGCCTGTGCCCATCATGGACAGGGAAGGACCTCTTTTCTTCCAGGACCCACAGGCCACTAAAGCAAATGTAGGCTCACAGCCCTCCCTGACCCCTGGAGGTCGAGGCCCCCCCCACATACCCTGGGCTGCAGGTGCTGGCAGGCATCAGGCTGCCCTCAGCGTCAGTGTCCCCAGCTGTGGCCCCCACTCTGACCGGAACGTCCCTCCTGCTCTGCCTCTGGGAGTGGAGTCAGACTTCAGGGGGGCCAGGCTATGTGCGTGTTCTCCCAGGTACCCCATTTCCACAGGCCACTGGAAGGATAGGTCCTACCCCATCCACCCAGGGAGACACACGGCTGGGCTTCATTTCCCACCAGCAGCAGAGGTCTCAGGTTCAGCCCCAGGCTTCTGTCACATGAGAACCCCTCCCCAGAAGGGTACAGAGTACCCCGGCTAGCAGGGAGGGAGGAGAGAAAAGGAAAACGCAAGAGTCGGAAGGAGGAAAGAAGGAAAGGAAGGAAGAGCTAAGGACAAAGGCAGAGAGGGTAGAGAGGGAGCCGGGGTTCAGCTCAGTGGTTCTGGTGACTGCCTTGCAAGCTCAAGGACCTGAGTTCCATCCCCGGTACCAAAATAAAAAAAAAAAGTAGAGAGGGAAGGAAGGAGGATAAGAGAAAAGGGAAGAAAGGGGTAGAGGGAGGGAGAGGAGAGGGGAGGCAGAAGGAAGAAGAAGGAAGGCGGCTCTGGGCCCCACCCCCTGGCACCCCACACCGTGCCTTCCTCCCTGGCAGCAGCTGTTCCCCTTTCCCAAAGGTGGCCCGGAGGGAGCAGCCTCTCCTTGGAAAATCAATCCCCATTTTCCATTTCTGGGGGGGTCTCGCGTTGTCTCCCAAGAGCACCCTGCTTCCCAGGGCGTGCAAGGCCCGTGCACCCTTGCTGCACGCCCCAGAGAAATGCAAGGCGGCTCCAGTCACGGCTTTAATCTCCCATCTTCCCCACCGGGCTACACTCGGCCACAGACTGCAGCCTGGCTGGGGTCCCAGGAGAGTGACCAGCGAAGGCCACTGGAGGCTGATCGTCCGCAGAACCACAGGCAGGGAGGGCGAGATGTTGCCGACCCAGAGACACGGATGCCACTCAGACCAGTACACAGCACAGCCACTGCGGGAGAGAGCGACGTGAGCCCGCACTCCGGACTGGGCCTTACCCCTGCCCTCCTCTGCATTGCCCAGGTCTCCGTCCTCTGGGCAGGGCTTGCTCAACCCTCGGAGGCCAGGAGTCCTTAACCACCCGCTGACTCCTAATCCAGGGAACCACGGAAATGCGAGAAAGCTCCAAGAGCAGGGCTGTGTCGTGGACAGTCCTGTCCCACGCCGTGGATTTTCCGACCATGGACTGAAAGTATGCAGAAAAATACTGTCTCCAAATAGAAACACAAACACTGTTCTCCCGTCTCCTCCCCGAACACAGGGCAGAAACCGCACAGCAGAGAGCTCAGGTTGAGTGTGACCGAAGTCCAGAGCGACACCACGTCTGTGCGCGGACTGGGCGAGTCTGAAGCCCACACTGTGCTGTGCGTGGAAGGGCCCTGAGCACGGGGTGTCGGCGTGCGGGGTGCTGGCCCACGTCCACGCACCCGGGGAGCCTGCACGAAGCTGCTGCTCCCCGCCCCCCATCTGCGCCCTTCCTAGACGTCTCCTCCTGCACCTCCGGCCCTGGGCCCGCGCACACAGGTCCCGTGTGTGCACCTTCCCATGTCCTCGCCTCCTCCAGCCCCACACTGCGGTCTCGCCGTGCACAGGTCCACAGCCGACTCCTCGCCAGGCCCTGCCCCGGCACAGACAGAGCGAGTACACTTCCCGCCCCAGGAGGAGGCAGCGTGGCGGGGCCATCGGGACCGGGGCTGCGACTCTTCTGCCCAGCAGCAGGATGAGGGCCAGTGCTCCTGCCTGCACCCCGGACCCGTCCCCAGCCAGCGACAGCCCCCAGGCAAGCAGGGGTGTGTTCTGCACCCAGGGGAGACTTGTCTTCCTGCCTCTCCTGTCCCTGCAGTCCTGTTCTTTGTGCCCGATGTCCTTCTACACCTCCCTGAGACAACTGGTTCCCGAGGCGGCAAATCTGCGTGCCACTCCTCATCCTGACAGAGAAGGGTGTACGCCTCTGACACCGTCTGAAATGTGGCTATAGCCTCATCTTCAAGATAATAATAATAATAGAATAAGAACACTGGAAAGTGGCTGCCTTCCTCCCTGACGCCTCACAGAGCAAGCATGGGTTTGCCCATGAGCGTCCACATTCAGCACTGCACCCCAAGGCTTTCAAAGCATTCTCACTCATTCCAGTGACTGACCTCAGGCAGGGACAGCTGGACGACACCTGTCCGGTTCCGGTCCAAGACCCTGAACAGTTCTGAAAGGCAGACAATGAAGGAGCCTCAGAGACCACCCACCCCTCTCCCACACCCCAGCCCCTCGGCTCCGCCCTGGCCCCAGGGGCCCCAAAAAGCCTGGGGAAAGCCCTGGGTCAGATCTCCAGCGAAAGGAAGAAAGGGTCACGTCTGGACCCAGTTCTGGGGCACTCTGGGGCAGCACCATCCTTTGCCCAGTGGCCAGCCCAGCTATCTACAGAAATGGCTGCTGTGACCTCACCACCACAGAAGCCTGTCAGAGCCTGGCCGCTGTGAACAGGCTGTGGGGTGGATGTCAGGTCCCCAGCTCCTGGTCTCTTCCTCTTCCCAAGGCCACCCACACCAGACGCTGCTCCGTCAGTCAGCAGGTCCGAGGCCCACAGCTCGCCATGGCCTCCCCAGTGTACATGGGAGCAGACACCAACCATCTAGGCGGCCCCGGCCCCATCCAGCTACCAGGCTCTGCCCAGAGTGGGTGCTGGGAATCCCCAGGCAGCTTCAACTCGAGGGCCCCAGGGAAGGTGGTTCCACTGGGCCCCCAGGGCCTGCCCTGCCCCAGGCCTAGCCACAGAGCGGTCAGGGAACTGCTAGGTCTTCCCCAGGCCCTGCCCCTGCATCCTGCTCTCAAGGGAACTGGAGGGGACGGGAGGGGACAGGGCACTCACTGAAGAGGCTCTCCAGGCGGACCATGCAGGCCACGAAGCTGTCAAAGTCGATGCTGAGTGCGTGGCCCGTGTACCTGGTGGCGATGGTCTGCTGCACCTGGTTGTTGAGGCTGAACCCTGAGGGCGAAAGGGGGCGATTGCTGAGTGCGTGGCCCGTGTACCTGGTGGCGATGGTCTGCTGCACCTGGTTGTTGAGGCTGAACCCTGAGGGCGAAAAGTGGGGTCACAGGGCCGAGCCTGTGTGGTGACCAGTCCACCACCCCCCCGTGCACCGGCCAGCCTCCCCCGGGCCCAGACCCGCCTCGGAAGCAGAGGCCTTGGCTGCCAGCCTCATCAACCCACAGAGCCCCACCTCTGCCCCGCCTGTCACCTCCCCATGACAGGCTCCGTAGAGCAGAGTCTCGGGCCAGGCATGTGGCCACCTTGACACCAACAGTCCCAGCGGTTCCCTGCATCACCCTCCGGGAACGATGGGCCTGTCCTCACCCGCCCTCCCGAGGGCCAGCCTCATGTCATGGGTGTCCACGGTCCCCAGGCGGCCAGGATCCAACTCCTGGAAAATCTCCTGTGGCAAAGATTAGATCTGGTCAAACCAGGCCCAGAGTGGCTGGCAGGAGTACCACGGAGGGTTGGGGAAGAGGGACAGGCAGGGCCAGGGAAGGGGGGAAGAGAGTTACCAGGTACTTCTGGACCTTCAGCCAGAGCGTCCTGAGCTCCACGGGTCCCAGGGTGCCGGTGCCGGTGCTCTGGGCACGTTAAAGGCCAACACGACAAGCCTGGCCCACGCTGCAGCCCCCTTCTCTTGTGAGCCTGTGGGCCACAGCCTCAAGGCCCTGGAGCCTCTGTGTGGCCACAGAGAAGGAGGAAGTCAAGTGCAGACTAGAAGCACGCACTGTTTCTCCTCTGCCTCGCCACCCTGCCTCTGAGCCGCTGACCGCGGACTGACACCTTTGCACACCGAATAAACCTCTCCTCCTCTAGTTTGTGGGTGTTGGGTTTTTGTCTCAGCGTCGAGAAAAGCAGCTAAGACAGTTGCCCTTGCTCCTGGGTGAGGTGAGAGGCGAGACGTTCAAAGGATACGTCCAGCAAGCTGATCATCTCTCGGCAAGTGTAGATGCTGAATCCAGCGAACTTTATGTCTGTTCCTAAATAGACAGGAAACAGGTGGGAACCGGGGTGGCTGGGAAACGGGAGGTGAACAGCCTCCAGCACTGTGGGCAGCGGGCAGACACCGAGACTCCCAAGGGGGGCGTCACCACGCAGCCTCTGAACCCCAGACTCGCCAGCAGGGACCGGCAGGTCCTCACTGCTGCGCTTCAGTTTCCTCCTCCGCCACTTGAGCCGAGCATGACGCTGATGGTGCCTGGCGAACGGCCGGTGGGACGTGAGCCAGCGAAGCGAGGGTCAGCCACGCTGTGCCGGGGCTGGGTCGGTCTTGATAAAAACCCCGGCTTCAGGGTCAAGGCACCCTCCACACACTGCCCAGCCCCACTGGTCACTGCTGCCGTTTATACCCAAGGACTCAGGCCTGGGGCCCCACAGCCTGCACTTTGGTCACAAACACCCTGTCCAGCAACAGCCATCGCCCTGGGGAATCCCAGGTCCCACCACCCTGTTCCTCTCCTTTCCCCTCCTTCTTCCTTCCCTGTCTGCCTCCTCGCACTGGGAGCCCCTTGGGCTCTCCCGCCCTCTCCACTACTCTCATGGCAGCAGGAGCCAGAGGGACAGAGAGGATGGAAGGGCCACCTCTGGGCCCAGGCCCAGCTACTCAGCCTGCATCCCACAGGGCCCTGCTGCAGCAGGGGAGAAGGGCCCTCTCCCAACCAGTTAAAGACCGAACCTGGCCTGCCCCGGGCCAGATGGAAAGCAGCCCACAACAGACCCTCCTGCAGAGGCAGAGGGGCAGGATCTTTCCTCCAGTGCCCAGGCCTGAGAACCCAGGACCCTGTGGTGTAGAGATAGATGGAGCCAGTGGGCGAGGGCAGGGACAGCCTCTCCTCCTTCCCCAAAGCAGCACCACAGACTGGATCCCTCACGTGGTCTCTGTGCCGGCCCCGAGTCAGGTGTGGCCCAGCTTCCCCTCCGCCCCGGAATCTGCACACCACTCCTGACATCCCAGACGCCTCCGCCCTGCCTCCTGCCTCCCAGCTCTCATCTTGCTGGACAGAATCTGCACTCCAGGTCAGAAGCCAGAGCCCCCACAGCTTCATCCCCTCTGTCTGCCCTCCCCAGGTCCATCTCCCCCAGTGCCCACAGACTGAGGAGCCCAGAAAGGGACTTACGTCTGGAAAACATCACATTCAGAACCCTCTTGAGCTCATTGGCACCAATCTCAGAACCCTAGAAAGAGGCCAAGGGCTCGTGATGCGGGGCCTGACACAGAGCTTCCTGTTGACACATGGCCCCTGTGGCTCTCAAAGCATGTGACAGCTGTAGACCCCCATCCCCTCTGGGGCCCCGATGCCTGGCCAGGGCTGGGTGTTGGAGCATCAAGATCTGTACCCACCATAGCTGCCCCCTGTCCTTCCTGGCCGTGAGACAATGACTTGGGCTTCACTGCTCCCAAGGGCGGAGCCAGCTTGTGCTGCCCCAAGGCTTGGGCGGAGGGGGCTGGTTGGATCCTCCCTTCCCACACCCAGTGAGCCCTGTGCAGTCGCCGCTGCACCACCCCTGCCCCAAGCAACCAGCCAGGGCACGAGGCCACACTGGGCACCACATGGTCATCCTGACAGCAGCATTTAGGGCCCTGAGAAGCCTCCAGGGTAAACTGCGCGCCCTGTGCCAGTGGGAGGAGATGGGGTTTTCCCTCACCATGTGTCCTGATCCCGACCCCACCACAGAGCTTGGACCCCTCGGGGCAACAAGCCAGGGCACCTGTGTCTCCAAGCCCAGAGCCCAGGCTGATCAGTTGAGCCACGCCTGCCACACTGCGCAGTTCCGCCTCCGAGAGTCCCTACTTACAGAGCCGTCGGCCTGGCTCTCTTGGCGGAGGCTCATCACAGGGCCAACTTCCACAAGGAAGGCCTCCCACAGGACCCCGCTCCACCTTCCTCTTCCCAGGTCAGTTGGCACAGCCAGGCAGTGGCCTAGAGACCAGGGTTGCTGCCCCCAGCAGAGCAGGGTGAAGGCAGCCCAGGAGCTGGGGCCTAAGGGACACAGCCTTAGCCTCCCTGCCTGACCCAGGGAGTGAGGACCGGAGCCCACTCACCTTCCCCGAGAGCTCCTCACACAGTCTCCGGAGCTCCTGGTCCCCAGGGTCAACCTCCACGGGATGCAGCTGCGGGACGGCAGGGGCAGTGACCGAGGAGTGGGGGCTGGAGGTGAGAGCCATGCGTGCACTGCCTGAGCCAGGCCTTGGGTTTGGGGGTACACAGGACACCCAGCTCCCAGCCCCCGAGGGCTCCCACCCCAGTGGGCACACAGGGCCAGGCCCAGGAGCCTCTGGGTGACCCATCCTGCCCCTCTAGCTCCGTCCCTGAGTGGCACTGAGAGAACTGAATGACACTGCCATTGGGGTCTGGGCTGGGCCTGGGGACTCTGGGAGGGTCCACGTGTTCTGCACAGCAGAAGTCACCCCGGAATCAGGGTGGTGTTTATGCCCACATTCCCAGTGTTAGTCGCTTTCTCCACCAAGATCATGATGAAAAGCAGCCAAGAACGAGCCCAGGCCATGCAGCAGAGCCCAAAACCCCAGGCCCAGGGCTGCAACAGCTGTCACTGCCGACCAGATGTTGCCAGGGCTCCACCCACCGCCCCTGCTCCGCTCTGACATCAGCTCCCTGGGCCACGCCACAGGCAGCATGCACAGGAGCTCATGAGTGCCAGTCATGAAAATCACAGGCTGCTGCGAGGATGCCTCTGGCCCGGACTTTCCAGTAGGAGAACAGGTTCCATCCAAAATAAAATGGCCCAGGCCACCGCCACCTCACAGAGTAGAAACATCACAGCTGCTCGGGGCCTGCGAGGGTCCCAGGAGCCAGCCGCTGTCCCCAAAGTCCCTCCCCAAGTACAGACAAAAAGGCCAGGACCACCAGGCGACACAGGGCATGCGGCTCCGGCAGGACTGAGATTCGCACGTGGCGGGCTCTTGCAGGTCAACTGCCCGGCTCATTCATCCTCCCAGCTGTTCCATTGGTGGGGTTGGTGATGCCCCCGCAACAGAGGGAGAAACTGAGGCTTGAGACATAGGCAGGGCCCAAGAGCCCAGGGCCCACGAGTGCTGGAGCCGAGTCCAGGCTGCGTCTGCTGCTGCAGCCAGGGCCACAGGGTCCCGGCATCGACGGTGCATCCACCCCACCCTGTCAGCCAGAGCACCTGGGTCTGCCTGGTCAACAGACGAGGGGGGAACCAGCCTCTGCCCCCCTCCCGGCCTGGCCTGCATCCACTGCCACAGACAGAGCTGGTCGCTGACCCAGCACCAACGCAGGAGGTCAGGGGGAGCCCGCGGGGGGTGCTCGGCCCAGATCCCACACCAAGCTCTCCTCTGCCACCCGGCCATGCCCAGACCAAAAGCTGCGCTGTGCCTGCCTGGCTTCCACTGCCCTCCAGACCTCAGGAGACCAGGCCAGGCAGGGAGGGCCCGTCCCACAGGCCTCCTCTCCAGCGCCCGGAGCGTCCCTCCCTCCAGGTCCACCTGACAGATCGGGAGGAGTGAGGCACCCCCTGCCGCTGGGGGCGACCTCAGCCCTCGACAAGCACAAGCTTCACACATAAGCAGCAGGGGGAACAAACACTCACCTCGTGCGGGTTTCCAGCCACAACAGCTCCAATTTCCCTGCAACAGACAAGACGAGCAGACTGAGAAAGTATTCCGCAGAGCCCCTTGGTGTGCAGCCCACCCACCCGGGCCCTCCTGAGCCCAGGGCTTCAGCCTGGGTGCTGGGAGGTGGGGAGGGTCAGCCTGGCTCGCTGTGGGAGTGTTTGCTGGTGGTCCTGTGCTGGGACTCGAACCCAGGGCCTTCACACTGGGCTACATACCCAGTGCTTTATTTTTTGAGACAAGGTCTCACGAAGTGTTAAGCGGCCCGGGCTGGGCTTAAACTTGCGCTCCTCCCTCTGCAGCATCACGTGTATAGGATGTGTGGTGTCTCAGTCTGACTGTGTGCTCTGTGTGGTGTGTGGATGGTGTGTGCACAGTGAGCACACTGCTGTGTGCTGTAACCAGCTCTCCCACACACCCTTTGCCCGAGCCCCGATGGGCAGCGGCCCCCAGCCAGGCTCCCTCAGCCTGGCCCGCTGCTCAGAGCCCTGTATCCTGCAGGGGGGAGGGACCGGGTGGGGACATGGGAAGGACTGGGCCTGTGTTCCTGACGTGTTTGCCCTGTACAGGACGGCCTGGTGCGTGGACCCCACCGCCAGGAGAGACCGTGACGCACAGAGCCCGGGCCTTCTGCTCCGAGAACACGCGCAGGCAGAAGTCGCCGTCCTTGAAGGGCTCGAAGGTGGACGGCACCACCAGGTACTCGCCAGGTGGCAGCTGCACACGGCCCCACACCTCTCGCAGGTTAACATAGGTGTCCGAGCGCGCAGCCGGCTGGTGGCCACAGAAGAAGTCTCGGCCCAGGTGTGAGTCTGTGTGGCCCGCCAGCTGCAAAGAGAGCAGGTGGTCAGCTGCTCCTCCAGCCGGAAGACCGGGCCCAGGGCTCTGACCATCCTGCAGTCCACGTATGGCTGATAGCTGAGTTTTCCCTGCTGAGAGCCAGGAGGCCAAGGGGACTGTCCAGACTCAGCAAGTGTCCACTGTCATGGGCTCTTTGGCAGTGACCTTGGCTGACCTTGACTGTGCATCGGAGCCAAACTGGGCCCTCTGAGCCCTGAGCCTGGAGCCTCGAATGGGCCCGGTTTCATCTCTCCAAGCCCAGACTGCGCTGTGTCCTGGTGTGGCCCTGAGCCCAGGGCACACTGAGGCTGGAGAGGACAGCCTGCTCCTCAGCAAAAGCCAGCAGGAGGACCACTGTCCTGCCCCGGGAAGGTGCTGGGGGGTGAGAGGCTTTGGCTCAGAGGAGGCTGGCAGCCCGCCAGGGGAGGGGAAGGGCTGCCACGCCCTGCCCAGGGCTGTGGAGAAGCCCACAGAGGCAGCAGACTGATGCACACTGGTGCGGCCCTGTTGCTGCTTGGTGAGGACCCTGGGCTTTGTGTCCCTGACAATCGCCATCCTGACCCCAGATGGTGGGCAGGTGAGGCCCAGATACAAGCCCATGTACCTGCTGCCTGAAGGCCACCCCAGGCAGGGTCCCAGGGAGCAGAGCAGAGCCACCACCCTGCCTGGCCCGGGCTCCACAGGACTCAGGTGACCCAGGAAGAACTTCCACCCAGGTAGGGCTCGGCCAGCACGGCCAATGTCGTCCCCTCCCCTGCAGGTGACAGCCAAGGAGAGACCCCAACCAGAGGAATCCCGGTTCTCACACCCCAGGTGGGGAGGCTGCGGGGCCCAGGCGACACTCAGTGAGGAGAGGGGAGCAGGCACCCAGGAGCCCCAGACTCAGAGCCAGAGCCGGATCGAGGACAGCGAGCTGCACCCCAACAGGCCGGGCTGGGTGCTGGACCAAGGGCCCTGGCCCTGCAGAGGCACAGGCCGCTTCCCCAGACTCATCCTCTCCTCCCTCCAAAACAAACACCGCATCTGTGAGAAGCAGGCCGAGGGAAGCTGAGGCAGGACAGATCCACCACTCCTAGCAGCAGGCCTGGCCCTAGCAGAGGAAGCCAAGAGTACAGTTCTCAGCCATGGCTGCGCATGGAGGGAGTCACCTGGATCATTTACAAACCCGTTCCTGGTGCCCAGTCCTCACATCAGGCGGGGAGCAGCCTGGGTGGCACTGGGAGCTTGAAGGCTGCCCGACTGCAGCCAAGTCAGCGGGGGGTCGCTGGCCAGCACGGCCCCCGCCCTGCACCAGTGCGGCCACCAGCAAGGCCCAGCACTGCCAGGGAAACACCAGGCATGGGCCGGCCTGGTCCTGGCCCATCTTACCCTGGGAGGTCCTCTCCACCACACAGCACTCACATACCTCCTTGGGGACCTGAGGGGCAGAGACGAGAGCCACATTCACAGATGGCCTGTGCCCAGGGCGGGGCTCGTGCCCTGGCCGGAACCCTGCCCGTGGGCGCTGGGACCAGGGCAGAAGGAGGGTTCTACTCTGCTTGTTCTCAGCTATATAATCTCCAGGACCCCTGCTCTTCGAGGGCAGTGTGCGTGGGCGCTGGCAGACAGCGGAGGTCTCTGCAGACCAGCAGACAGCTGTGGCCAGGGTGGGGGCCTCCCTGGAGCTGGCATCCCTCCTGCCTATGGCCATGCTGAGTGGTCCCAGCCCAGCCGGACCCCACACCAGCCTGCAGACTCTTCTGGGATGTTTCCATGGGAATATGGGGGTGAGAGTGTAGAATCTCTAGAGCTCCAGCTGCTCCGGATTCCTCAGATACTCCCTACCCCCAGATACTCCCTACACCTCAGATACTCCTGATAACTTCAGATCCTCCCTAGGCTCACCCCCTTAACCTGACTTTAAACCTTCAATTCAGAAACATCATACCCTAAACTATGTCCCTGGCCACAAGAAAGAGCCCAGATCACAGATACTGAGTATTTCACAAGCTGCTATAGCTTGGTGTCTAGAAAATAATGTGCTTTGTGTATTATTCCTGAGAGTAACACACACACCGTGCCCCACAGATCTATTGTGAGCGAGCACTTTGCTGACTGGCCATGTCTGAGGATGAAGCCTAACTCTACGCTCTCCAGTCTCCACTCACGGCCGGCTGTCTGTGGTGCCCCTACCTCCACCGCCCCCTCCACCTCTGAACCCCGCTCCACTTTCAAAGTCCTGACGGTCTCCTGAGGGAGGCTGAGGTCCCACCCAGCGTTGGTCCGTTTCACGGTGGGAGGGCCCTGTGCTGGTTCCCAGCTCAGATGGGGAGCCCCTGAGGGCCGCGGCCAAATATAATGCCTGTGTCCAGCTTCTCCTCCCCGCCAGAACCCCACAGAAGCTCCCGTGTGCAACCAGGGCCTCCTCACAGGGTCCTCGGCTTTGTTTTTCACATTGGGGGGACAGGAGAGCCGTGGGGTGCGGTGGAGCATGTTCATCCACAGATCTTGGTCTCCCCGCCCACCCCACCCCACTCAGCCCATGGCCCCGGAGCAATGAGCCTCAGGCAGGGCAGCAGGAGCAGGACTTGGCTTCCACTCACGATGCCTTTGCGGGCACTAATCTACAAGCATTCATTTATGCCAAGATGCTGGGGCTGCAGCAAGCTCTTTGTCTCCTGATGAGAATTGTATTTTTCCCAAGAAATTCTTTTTCTCTTTTTGGTACCAGGGATCAAACTTAGGACCTTGCACTTCTGAGGCAGGCGGTGGAACCACTGAGCTAAATCTCGGCCCAAGAAATTCATTTCAAACAAAAGTGTAGAGAAGGCACTGGGACCTCTCTGGAGCTCATTGTGAGGAGTGTTGTCTGAATAAGCGAGCAGACTCCAATCTGCTGGCCAGAAGCAGGCTGCCCTGGAGCCATGAGGCCTTTGCCCTGAGCCGCACCCCTTCCTCACTGAGCCCGGGCCGGGCTCACACTTGCAGTTGTCCTGCTTCAGCCTTTCCGGGGTCTGGATTGATTGTGAGGCTGAGCCCACGAGGGGTGGACAGCAGGACAGACTGCACCCTGAGTCAGGGCCACCTCCGCTTCAGCCCAGAGACACGGCGTGAGGGGGATCGAGGCCCAGCGCGTCCGGGCCGGGTGGGAGGAAGGTGCCTTACCCTCCACCCACAGCACCTCGTCCTGCGACGCTGGCATCTCTGACAAGCCTGACACAGAGCCAGCGAGACAGGAAGAGCTCAGCCGGCTGCAGCTGGTAAGAAGGGGTCTCCCTGGGGTCCGGCCTGGGGGCTCCGAGCAGCAGGTGACAGGAGCACTGAGCAGGGAGGGCTCGCGGAGAGCCGACCACATACCTGATAGATGGCAAAGCCTATGCTCAGCAGGCCCTGGCCCAGCCGCCGCCTCCTCCGCCGGTCCTTCTGCATCAGCCCCAAAAGCGCAGTGCAGCAGGGCTCCCCCACGCCCTCCTCCTGGTCCTCGTCCGCCTCACCCAGGTGGATTTTGAACTGGGGATTGGTCCAGTACGTGGCTGGAGTGGCCGGCAACGGTGGGGGTGGGGGAGGGAAGATGAAACGAAAGAACAAAACAGAAGCTTGGTCACCCAAGGAAAGCAAGCCTCTGCCCCTCCTGGGTCCACCAGGAGCCCAGACTGCCTGGCTGGGGACATGTGCAACCCTTCCGTCCCAGGACTGCCTGCGCTGCTTTGGGAAGCAGCCCCTGACCTCCCTGGGAGGCAGAGTCACTGCCATCTCCTTGTTCTTGGCTCCTGGATGAAGGGAAGTGCATCCCTGGGGACAGAGGGAACAGTCCTGGCCGCAGGGCTCGGCCCACAGGTGGAGCCATCTGATGTCACAGGTTCTCCCTCCCACAGGTCCTCAGCCCAAGAACCCCAAGAGTAGATCTTGTCCATCGGGCTTGGGGCCTGGGCCGCAGTGTTGTGGGCCCTGATGAGACCCCCACTCTCAAGGCCAGTCATCCATGGGGCGAGGAGCACAGCCGTCCAGACACTGCTGCCCCACGGGCTATGGATAGGCCTGCCTCGGCTTCAGATGCCGTTTGTTTTATTTGTTCTGTTTGGTTTGGTTTGGTATCAGGGATCAAACGTGGGACCTTGCACTTGAGAGGCAGGCGGTGGCACCACTGAGCTAAATCCCCGGCCTGAGAGGCTGTTTTAAAATCATCTCCCAGGATGGAGGGTCACCACCAAGCGCAAGAATCCAGACACCCAAGGGCACACAGTAGCGGCGTGGCCCAGCCCAGCAGCAGAGCGGAATCAGACAAGGGGACCGAAGGGTGTCTGCTTGCTGGGCCACAGCAGCTCTGCATCCATGGGACGGGAGGCACTGTGTGCTTGGCTTGGATCTGTCTTTGAGGGGATGAGTTTTCATGTCCTCAAAGTGAAATGACAACGGCACTCCAATGCCGCAGGAGCCAGCTGCCACTTTTCTTCCTAGCAGTAGAGCTGCTTATTCAATTCTTCCTGCCCAGAGCCTCCATTTGCAGATGGTTTATTAAGGCACAAATGTACAGATTTCAGAACGGATTCAGGAGACAGAAAGCTGGGGGACCCTGCATTCCTATGCTATTACTAAAGGGCCAGAACCTCCACTTCTGCCAGGGGACTGGACTCCATGCAGAGGCTGGGCCTGCAGTTCCCAGCTCAGCATGGCCTGTTTCTAAGAGCCCACTGGAGTGAACAGGACCTCATTTCTCCCAAATGCAACCTGACTGCAGCCATAAAAATAACACACCCCACCGGTGTGTGCCAAGGTCCTACATGCTCCGTGCACCAGGCACACAGGCCCAGAAGGTGGGGAGTGGGCGTCATCTCCTGTCTTAGGGCCCAGAAACGAAGCTCAAACTGGGGGAAAGAAATGCTGCTCCCAGCCCTCAGTCTGTCATGCTAAGCACAGACCCCTTGCAAGGCCGAATTCTGGGGTCTGCAGCCAGGAGTGGGAACTCTGGATGCGGGGGGCTTGTCCAGACCCAGGACTGTGCCCCAAGGGGTTTAGGGAGGAAGCCACTCCTGCAGGGCCCCACACCGGGAGGAGTGACCCGGCCACGCTCCCATGTGACAGTAGGTCAATCAGCCCAAATCAGCACAGAGATGCAGGCAGGGCACAGGCGGGAAGGAGGCGGAGACACCAGGCTTTTCGTTCCTGTGGCTCCACGAAGGGCCGTTTTTGGGGTTCCTCCACCAGGAACTGCAGCAAGAGCGACCTGGGAGGAGCCCGCCACGCACACAGAAGCGGTCTCTGGGATGGGAGGTGGCAGCTAGCTCCCGACGGTCCCTCCGTGGGGCCACACTCGTGCCGGCTCCGCCCCCGCCCCGCCCCCATCGCTGACCCGGAAGCAGATGATGCAGCTCTGCAGGGCGGGCGTCTGCGGTCCCCAAGCGTCACCCGCATCCACCAGCCACAGCCCAGCACTCAGTGGGCTGGATGGGGTGGCAAAGCCAGGAGAAGAGCAGGCCCCAGGCGGGAGCCAGTCAGGCTCGGCAGGAAGAACAGGGCCTCGGGGCCAGGCCGGGTGGCACAAGCGGTGATTGGAACCCACATCAGGCCCAGTGGGGCTGCAGCAGGAGCAGGGTCGCAGGCTCAGGGCGGTCACCCTGAGGTCCAGTCCTCGGCCCCTGGAGGACACGCTGGCGCCGGCACCTCACCCGGGTAGTTCTGGCAGCCCCCGGCGGTGGCACCCCTTGCCCAGCGGCCGTGGAACAGCACCAGGCTCCACTTGTGAGCTTCCTCGCTGCTCAAGGAGTCCGGGGACAGGTTGCAAATCTCCAGGCGTGAGAACTGCACCAGGAAGTCGGAAAAGGACATCCTGACAGCGAGAGAAACTGAGGCTGAGAGGACAGACAGGCTGCTCCTGGGCAGCTGGAAGGGGATGGGCGGTGGCCAGGTCACCCACCAACGTCTCGGTCGGTACCATGTCGCCCTCCAGGGAGACCGGACTGCCTGCCCACTTCACAGGGCAAATGCTCACCAGAACTCGCCGTCCTCTGCCTTCTGGTCCAGCTCTTCCCTCTGCCTGGGGTCGATGCGGCTCCACTCCGGTGCCCTGGGGAGGAATGGACAGAGGCAGTAGTGGGATGGGGCTGCAGTAGTGGGGACCTGAGGCTGACCCGGGGCTGTCGAGAGGGGATGAGGCTGAATATGGCCAGAGCACCCAGCCCCGAGGGCGGGATGGGGACCTGGGTCGGGCCGAGGCCTGCGCTGGGCGTCTGAGCAGCGCTGGACTTGGGGACAGTCCACGTCCTGAGCCCGCAGGGAGAACGGTCGGCCCGGTTTGTGGCAGCTTCCCTGAGGGGACCCTGTGTGGCCTCCTGCTTGTCCTGCTCCCTGCCCAGCTCACCCAGTGTCTGAATAACTGAGAGGTGTGGAGATCCCAGCCCTGGTTACAGTCAGCAGTCAGTGCCGGGCCAGCCCCTTTCCTGCCTGTGGATAGGGCAGCCCAAGCCCCAGCCACTTTCTGCCCACAGCTGGCCTCTTGGCCCCCAGGAAGCCAGGATCCTTGAGGCTTTTTAAATTCTCTGCTACTGGAGATTGAACCCCGGACCTTCACACAAAGCCGCATCCCCAGCCCTTTTTAGTTTTGAGACGGTCTAAATTGCAAAGCTGCCAGGCTGATCTGGAACTTGTGATCCTCCTGCCTCAGCCTCCTTCAGTGCTGGGATTACAGGTGTGCACCACCACTCCTGGCTCTCAGGGCTTTTTTATTTTGTTTTTTTGATTTGTTTTGTTTTTTGAGACAGGGTCTCACTATGCAGTTGAGATTGACCTGGAACTCACTTTGTAGCCCAGGCTGGTCTCAAACTCAGTGATCCTACTGCCTCAGCCTCCCAAGTGCTGGGATTACAGGCGTGCACCACCACTCCCAGTTAGGGCTTCTTTAACTCATTCTAATAAGACCTAATTTCAGGATATGCTTGTTATAAACAGATTAGAAGACATGTCAGAATTCCAGATCCAGCCTATCTCCCACTTGGTTTTTTCAGATATAAAATATAAAACAGCAGGATCTAGCTGCGCTTGGGGTCTCCTCGGGGTTGCGGGGTTCACCAGTGGCCACTGCTGGCGTTGCTGACGCCTCGCTAGTCCCCATTGTGCAGCTAGGTGGAGCTGAGCTTTCTCTGCATGGTGGAAATCGAGAGCGGGCACAGTGGTTGGGGACGTGAGCCCTGAGACTGCCCTGCCGTCATGACCAGTGCCCACCCATTGGGCCAGGGTATGAACCCCGCTCCTCTCTGCCCCTGGCCCAGACCCCGTCTCCTCAGGAGGGCAGTTTCCTCCTACTGCACAGGTCCAGCTTGGGGAGGCACCGGCGCTGGTGCAGGTGGTGTGGAAGGAGCAACCTGGGACTTCAGAACCTGTGGGGTGGCGGGAGGAAGCAAGCAGGCCCCGCAGGGCTTCTGGCCTCTCACAGACAGGGCAGAGGCTGGAGTCAAAGCCTTGCATGAAGCTTCTGTTCACCGGCGCCCACTGTGACCTGGGCCCCTCCTGGGCGCGACCTACTCGTCACTCCAGGCTCCCGTCCACTCCACCTGGCCCCATGGGTTCCGTAGTCGGATCAGTTGCTCCAGGCGGCCGCTGAAGTCCACCTGCGGTGACAGAGAGGCCTCTGAAGCCAGCCGGGTGCCCTGCCCAGGCCCCCAGACACCACACTTGCTTCCTTCGCTGGCTGCTTTCAGCTGCAGCCAAGCCCTGCTTGTCATCATGTCTCTGAATACGAGAAGAGCGAGTCTAGCATGGAACCAGGCGGTCTGCTCCGCTCAGACTCCTGTCTTGACTCGTGTGGCATTGGGGTGGGATGCAGGGGCCACTCGGCCACATCTCCCCCTCTTCTCATCTTTTATTCGAGGCAGCCCCACTCGGTGGCCCGGCTGGGCTTGAGCTCAGGACCCCTCCCCAATCCCGCTGGCAGCTGTCTGGGGTGCTCAGACCTGAGTTGAAGGGACCTGTTATGAGCGCCCTCCAGAGGGCACCAGTGGCACTGCAGCCAGTGTGTGGCGTGTGTGCTGAGCTGCGGCTTAGCGTGCACCGCGACACCACCTGGCCTGCACTGGGGAGGCCCACTGATGCGGTCCAGTTCTCGGAAGCCTGAGATCCAGAACTCGGTCCTACAAGAAGACCTGGGAGGAGTGGGGTCACCCACAGCCCTCGTGTCCCTCAGAGCCCCGCGGGGACTTTGACTCCCACTGAGGCCAGCCTGGGGAATGCTCAAGCCTCAGGCCCCGGGAGCCCAGCACCCCTGCAGGGTGGGTCAGGGCTCTGGGCTCGGTGGGCTCTGCCTCTTGGACAGCAGAGGTAAGGCAGCAGCCTGCAAGGGAGTCCAGCCCCTCCGGATGCACTGCCCACCCAGCTGTGCAGCCGCCAGCCTCAGACCCTGGCCTGGATCGCAAGTCTTTGCTTCATACATTACCCCATCCCCACCCCGGGGTCCTCATCCAGGAAAAAAGGGGCCCAGACAATGTCCTGTGCAGCTCAGTGCACACTCAGGCCACCTGCGCCTTCACACACACACACACACCTGTGCACACACACACGATGGTCTGGTCTGTTCGGTCTGCGCTCTGAACTCCCCCATCATGCCCCAGCCCAGCATTTACACAAGCACATTCAGCTCACAATTATGGGGATGACTTGATTAGAGAAACACACTTGTGAGAGACAATGAGTGTGCACTGAGTATCCACACGACCCTAGTAAGTCAAAGGGCTGAGATGCCATGGGGACCCAGCACAAGCATCTCCCAGTCCCGGGCCTGTCTGTAGCCTGTTTACCCACTCATACAGTGTGTCTTTCCACTGTAAGCCCCTTAAATCCTTCTGGGAAGTACACAGAACCTGGAAGTAAAAATAATGAGCTACAGCTCACGCTTCCCACCTGCCTTACAGATGCAAACCCCGCCCACCTCCTCGGTATTTCCAGCCCTGAAAGTGGGGTGGGGATTTACCTTTCCTGTCCTGCTGAATCCGTGGGCTTCTACCCTGCGTCCACCACCACCACCACCACCCACCCCCCGTGAGTGTGGACAGACCCTGACCGGCTCAGCACTTGCTCGAGGTCAGAGCCAGGGCTGACACCCAGAGGTCCAGCCACCCAGCGCCGAGGGACAGGAGGACCTTGGTCAGGGCAGGAGCTGCCTGCACACCTGTGGGCAGCCAGCAGTGGTGCCAGCATGCAGGGAGCTGGAGGCCACAGAACCTCTTCTGAAGGAGCCCTGTGTCCCCCCTGGGCACCCAGCCTTATGCCAGCCGTGTCCCCTTCCTTTCTCGGGTGGTTTTACCTCTTCCACCCCAGTGACGGAGTACGCGTGGCTCTTCACCAGCTTCTGGTGGGTGAAGGCTTCAGTTTCAGCCGCGCTGGAGACCTGAGTCAGAAGCGATCGCCAGAGTCACCGACTCAGCCTCTTTGGGGCCGGCCCTGCTGCACCTCGAAAGGACACAGCCAAGGACCCGGCAGGAGGGCCATTCTGGGCGGTGACAAGTGGCTGGGCAGGGCTGCGTGGCCACAGACCCTGGAGCCCTCTGGCCTGTCCCCAACCCTTCCCCCACACTGGGGACTCAGGGCTGTGTCCACTCACATCAATGGAGCAGCCCAGCAGAGACCCTGCACGCAGGGCCTTCCGGATGAGGCGGTACAGGTTGGCCGGTGGCTTCCGCAGGTCATAAGACTCTGAGATGCCACCCGTGAAGTCCTCGAAGCCCTCCACAGTGGAGCCTCCGGCCAGAGCCTCATAAGAACCGTTGAGCCTGTGGAGAAGAAGTGGCAGCTCCTGGGCTACCACAGCCCTTTGAGGGACTGCGGGCGGGGAGGGCTGGTGTGAGGGCCCAGGGTCTATGTCAGGGACCTTTGCTGCTTCACACGGCCACAGCTGGCAGGCACAGCAGGGGCCGGAGACCCTCACTCCAGCCTGGGAGTGCTCTGACAAGCCCAGGATTCCTGGAGCACGGAGCCATGAGAAGGAGCCCATGGAGCTTGTGCCTACCTAAGGCCGTGCATTTCCTTCTTCATTCGCCTAGAAACTCACTTTGTGCCGAGAACCTGCCTGGGGAGAGCAGGGTCCTCGGCCACCCTAGGGGGACACAACAGGCCCTCTGCATCCGCCCAGGGCCCATGACCTCTGTCGCAGAGGGCGCCTTTTCTCCACCCAGCAGGTGTGGGTGCAGGAAGGCCCTGAGGCGTGTGGCTGGGTGTGGGAGTCCTTGGGCCGGCGGCACTCACTTGGCGTAGGCCTTCTCCAGCAGCGCGCTCCAGAACTCCGAGCCCTCGGCCGAGTGCAGGAACAGCAGCTCCCCATCCTTGGTGGGCAGCCTGTCGTCCACCACCACCTCCACCCACTCGCCATACTGCCAGAACTGTGGGCGGGGACGGGCGGTCACACGGGGACACAGAAGCCTGCAGGCCAGGTGTGGGGACCCTGCTGCTGCAGTCTGGGGCAGGCGGGGGTCTGGGCCTCACTGATTCACAAGGGCAGATGCGCGGGGACGAGGAAGCCCCTAGAGCCTCCCGGCCTCCGAGCTGTGGACAGAGGCCCGGACCAGTGTGGCCCGGAAGCACGGGCGGTGACCAGACGAACATCTCTGACCCTGGTCCAGGCCATCGCTGGGTGGGAAGAGTGGGGTGGGTGACAGCAAGGCTACGGGAGTGGCTCTTAGTGCCCACCGCGGTCCCAGGGTCGCTCAGGGCAGCTGCTGGGCCCACACCAAAGCTGACTCCCGAAGACCTGGGGGCCTGAGGTACAGAAAGTGGGGACGAGGGCCATGTAGGGGCCACACCTGGAAATGGAAGATGCCTGCATAGTTCTCCTGGAAGCTCTGGTTCCCCGGCACCACACGGGACAGCAGCTTTTCGTTCAGGGTCAGAGAGGCAATAGCCGCCAGGAGCCAGCAGTCGCCTGCGAGGGCCAGGCAGAGGGTCAGGACCGGCTGCCGGGTCTCCCCACTCTCCCGGTCCCCAGCATCTCCATCTGTCTCCGCCTGCTCTCGCTGCCGCAGCAGAACGCCTGAGACCTGCTCACGTGTAGAGAGCGGAGATGCATCGCTCACCACTCTGGAGGCCTCGGAGCTCAGCAGAGCTGGGCGCGGCTGCTCTCCACACCAGCATGGGCCTGGCCGTCCTCCCCATTGGGAGAGTGGAGCCAGAGGAGCGGCCACTGACGCCACTCACAGGGTGGAGCCCTTCTTCCCCTTCTAGGCTCTGCCTCCACGCACCACACAGGTCTCAGCACCCACACAGGAGTCTGCACACGTGCCACACAGCCACGCCACAGCCTCCCTCAGTCAGGCAGCCTGTGCCCTGAGGCACGGCCAGAGCTGCTCACCCAGCAGGGGAAGCTCTCTGCCACCCCCTTTCCTGCCTCCTGGCTCTCACGCAGTGGCACCATGCAAGGAACGTGGCTTTCGTCACTTGAGCGCACAGTGGCATCACGAGGTCCCAGCAGCCCAGGTGAGGTGTTTTTCCATAACTCAGAGAGCAGCCCTCAGAGAAGCTGCTGGTCACACCTGAGAACAGGTGGCCTGGCTGCCACAGCTGGAGTGAGATAAGACAGTGGGCCTGGCCACAAAGCCACACACAAAGAAAGAGGCTTGTAGGGCTTCTGATCAGACTGTCCATACCACTGCCACTCACAGTGGGAGGAGCAGGGCTGGTGGGAGGTGCAGGGGACAGGGAGAGCCATTCCTAGAGAGCAGCCACTCTCCTGAGAGAGCCACCATCCTCTTGACAGCCCGCCCAACCTACCAGTCTCACAGCTGATAAACATCCCCAGTTGTCTCAGTGGTGACAGCCACGGCCAAACCACCTCCACAGGAAAGCGGTTCTGAGCCCGGGCCACCTGGGTAGGACCAAGAGGTAAGAGAAGCAGGGGGACTTTCTCTGCCTCCCCCTGTGGAGACCGAGCTGGCAGCCCCGTGCCCCACAGAGTGGACAGGACATGCAGGGAGCCCTCCAATAACACTGGTCTGTGGACACCTGCCAGCGCTGCAGAGCTTAGCATGGGAGTTGGGTCCAGGCTGCCCCGGAAGGGAGCAGCCTTCATCAGAACTAGAGGGGCAGTTGGAGAGGCCCCAGGGTGACAGCACTGCCCACTGGTGAGGGAGACCTTGTGCCCAGGCTGAAGCACTCGTGACCAAGCAGGAGCCCCACTGCTGCGACCTTGGCCATGGGCCTAGTGGAGGAGGGCGAAGGGGAACCCAGCAGTCGGCATCTCTGGGCTGTGTGGAGATCCCAGGAGGCAAGGTCCTATCTGAGACAGGGTGCATCTTGGAACAGCAAGAGAGAGGGGACGCCAGAGCCACTGGGGCTGACCACAGCGAGGGCCCGACCTCCCATGCGGGAAGCCCACCCTGCCCTGGCACACTGAGTCAGGAGGGACATGCGCCTTCCGAGCCCTGGCTGGACACCGCACAACAGCAGCAATGACTCGCCAGCCACACCGGGGTTGCACCGGGGTCTGTGACACCAGGGTCCGTGACAGCGGGGACACGGCAGGTGCTCACTAATCAGTCCCCATGCCAAGGAGCTGAGGTGGAGCCTTCAGGGGACACCAGCCTCCAGGGAGGGTCAGAGGAGACTGCCTGCTGGACCTGGGAGCTCAGGGACCGCGGCCTCCCAAGGCCTCGTCCAGCTGCCCTGACCCAGGCTGCCTGCTGCAGACACCAGCACACCGGACAGCACTGCGGGGGTGGGGGTGCTGTCCGGTGGCTCCAGGGCCACCACAAATCCAGGGGCTAGGGGTAAACTCTAGTGCCAGGCCAGGGAAACTGAGGAAGGGAGTCCCAGGAGGAAGGAGAGGATGGCGCTGGAAGTGGAGAGGGACACAGCTGCAGCCCCACGCGAACAGCAGTGGGGCCCGCGAGCAGCACGCAGGCGGCAGTGCGGAGTCACCCAGACAGGGAGGAGAGGAGACGCATCACTGACCACTCCTGCACTCACCCAGGACCTGTGGAGCCCGCCCGCCCTGCCGTGAGCCCTGCCGAGCACTGCGGCACCCTCCCTGCACCCCGGGCTCCCGCGCCGCTCCCCCAGGCACCAAGCCAGACCCTGCCGGAGCAGCCTGCGGCAGCTGACGCACACCATTCGCACAGCACGAACACCCGCACAGAACACAGGAGCCGGAAACTCCACGCACAGCTGGGACTGAGCAAACTTCCTGCCAGGAGGAAGTGGGACCCTGAGGCTTCCCACGGGCCGCATCCTGAGCCGGCGCTGGTGCTGATGTCAGGATGGTGGCCTTGCTGACGGCTGGGCCACCCCTGCACATCTGGTGGACTCAGTGTGGTCCCTGCAGGCCCTGCAGGCTGTGCCAGTGGGGTACCCTCTGTTCCCCATGTGGCTGCCAGCTCCAGGAGCAGAGCTAAAGCGAGACACTGGACGTCCCGCCCCTCCTGTGCTCAGCCGGGCGCCTGGCTCCAGCTTGCGTGGCCTTCAGGGTCCCCAGGACTCCCGAGTTCTCCTGCTCCCGAGAGCCACATCACCCCCATGCTACACCGTGCAGGAGGGGTGGCTCGGCCGTGTCCCTGCCCGATGTCCCCCAAGTCCGGTCCTCGTAGAATCATTTTGTGTCACCCTCCACCCCAGGCCTCAGGGAGCACGGCTGGCCGGAGGGGACCCTCGTCTGTCACTCTCCAGCACTGGGTGGAGGAGCACCTGGAGCCAGGGTGAGAGGAAAGAGGCCCAGCCTTGCCCTTAGACCCCAGAAACAACATGGGTGTGGGGCTCAGGCCTGGTGTTCAGGTCCCCAGAGCCTGCACACCTGCCAGGTCCCCGGCCCTGGGACTTGGGTTTTCATGTGTAAAATGGGTTGGTGCCTCTCAGCTATTGTACAGCAGCAGCATTTGATACTGAGCAAAAACGGAACTGATTTGTACCAGGAGAAGCGCTTCACGGGAGAGCACACAGATGCGTGACTGGCTGGAGAGGGACGGGAGGGACGGTGCCCCCAGAACCACGATCCAGTGAGAGACTTGCCAGGACTTGCAGAACAAGACCTCCCGCAGGTGGACATGAGGGTGAGGTTTCCAGTGTCTCCCTTTAGCTCTGCTCCTGGAGCTGGCAGCCACATGGGGGCTCGGCACGGGATAATGACACAGTGGCAGCTCCCGGTGTGTGCTCACTGTGCCGCAAGTGTACCTCGGCGTGCACTCCTCTTATAAAAGCAATCTGTCACCAAGCTCTGCGTGTGTGGTGCGCAGCAGCTCGCCCGTCCCCTGCCTCCTGCCTCTCTGTGGTGTCAGGGCCACATTGACGGTCCAGCCTACGCGTGGCTGGCGGGACTGCCCTGCAGCCCCATCCCAGGCTTCTCAGAGCTGACCTCCATCGTTAGGGGCCTGAGACCTCGCGCGCTGTCCCCACTGGTGGGGGGCGTTGGGACGTGAGAATAGCACACACGTTGTCTGTGTATCTGCAGCCACGGCGCTTGCCAGCCATCCTGAGTACCCTTATGAGCGTGCCCCCCTCTGGCTCCCCAGGACTCAACAGGAAGAGACAGAGACCCCAGTGGGCACACAGGGACGCATGCAGAGCTGGGAGCCACACAGGCGGGCTGTGGACAGCCGCTTGCACCCACGGCCTGGAGAAGGGCAGGCGAGGACAGTGGGCGGGGCCCAGGTCAGAGCCAGCGGAAGGGGGGCTGGCAGTATAACTCCCTGGGGCTGACTGCACCCCCTGCCCGGCCAGAGAAACTCGGTGCAGGCTCAGATCTCAGGCTGTCACCGTGCAGCCCCGGGAGAGGCTCTGAGGCCGCTAGGTGAGGAAGCTCCTCACCCACAGCAGCACCTCCTGGGTCCCTTGCCTGCAACCACGGTCCCAGAGGTGGCCCTGGCAGGCGCCGCTGCCCACCTCCTCCCAGCACCCCCACCCACCCTGCCCCACTGCAGCCTGCTCTGCACCTCCTTCCACCCCAGCCTCCTTTGTTAACAGAGCTCGTGCCCTGCATGCACAACAAATCCTGCCACAGTGGGATTCCAGGGAGGCACTCCGGTGGCGACAGAGGCCAGGTCCCAGCTCCTCCCGTCACCCCCCAGAGCCCCAGGTTCCCACAGGCCCACTTCAGCCCACACACACTCGGCACAGGCAAGGTGCATGCTGGGTGCCCACTTGCTGACGGGCACAGCAGAGACTGGGCAGTCCTGTGACCGCCCCAGATTGGACGGGCAGTGCTGGGCCAGTATGAGGCCCTGAGAGGCCAAGGTTGCTGTGCCCTGAGAAGCACAGAAGCCCATGCAGCCCCTCCTCAGCACAGCGCGGTGTGTCCTGCAGCGTGGTCCCTCTCCTGCCCACCCGCCCTCTGACCTGCCTCCATAGCGGCATCTGGCACGGTGCCATGGCACAGCGGCTGCTGCTTCCAGGCTGTTATGAAGATAAACGTGAGATGAGGCGGGTACGGAGCTGTGTACATCTCATGATAAGCTCTTGCCCCAACACAGCCCACATGCAGGATCGGCTGTCTACACCTGCAGGAGACAAAGGCCAGCGGGGTGGCTGCCTAGGCCTGCGAGTCCTTTACAATTTCCATCCCAGCTCAGGCAATTTAGCAGCTTAGCCAGAATGTGTCTCAAAACAAAAAACAAAAAGGGGCCCAGATATGGCTCAGTGTGAAGGCCCCAAGTTCATCCTCGTGCCTCAGAACAAAAAGAGAAAACAGAAGTGATGGTGAGTGTGGGGAGGGCGCTTCCCTGTGCCCCAGAGTCTGGCTGACCAGGTGGGGCTGCCACCTGCTTCAAGCACACCCCCGCCCACCCAGGCCGTACTGGTGCCGCCATGGCCCCAGGCCTTGGGCTGTCGGATCTGGGGGGACATGCTGGGCTCTGCTCCCTGATCCTCCCATGTCTCCCAATTTTAGTTTTATTCCCAGACAGCTCTGCAAACGCACCATCCCCTCAACACGGTTGCCAC